TCAGGTATGCATGACTCCCCTGCATGAAACCGTGCGTCAGCGGAGCAGAGAGGAAGCACCTCAGGTTGACGGGACGTCTGCAACAGGTGTTGTAATTTGCAGAGAGAAAGGCCAGCCATGTCAGCCTTGCCACTGCCTGTCACTGCCCGGCCCCTGTGGCACACTTGTCTGCTCAGTGATAAGACAGGGAGTGAATTCAGGGACAGGCTTTGCGAAGCGCTGCATCAACCTGCATTGCTCTTCATTTCTTCCAGCACAGCTGCTCTTTTCACAGCCTGGGAAACGGGCTGTGAAATTTGATTTCACCAGCATCTTCTCCCTGGAATCAATTATCTCCCGTGCCGCTGCTGCTCGTCCTGGAGCTGGAGGCTGCCTATTTGTATGAGAACCAATGAAAAAAGGACATGGACAGGAGGGGAGCCTGAAGTCTTTGTAATCTGCCATGAGACTCTTGGGTAGGACACATCATGTTGAAGCCCAGAGCCCTGATAGCATCAGCTGGCTGCACCCATGTTGAAATAGGCTCCTGTTGACTTTTTCTAGATAGAGATCCCAGCCTTTGGCATAGATGAGGCAGATAGTTGCCGGTGGTGAGTGCCAGAGTTGGTTTGGCATCGTACAGTCTACTGGACACGCCCCATGGCCCGCTAGGGAAGTGTCATTTGCTAAACCAAGGTGGCTAGCGTATACATTTTCAATTACGCAACAAAAAAAAAATCAATTTGGGGTTATCAGGCGATCCATAATCTGTTATGTTTGGTGGTCATCAGCATTTATTTTATTTCCCTCTAGTTTCAGGGTTGCACAGCATGAAGGAGTGTTTTCATTAAACAGGAATTGATTTCTCATACCACATTAATGCTTTTGCCTTTATGTGGTGGGGAGGAAAAAGAGCCTAGAAACCCAAATATAATCATTGGGATGGATGGCTTTCAATATTGGACAGAAATATGTCAATCAGGTATGGGCTTTGGACATTAAGTGATTTAGGCAAGGGCTTACTAGGGGCTGGGGTGGCTCGGGGGTGGGTAACAGCCCATGCAGTTGTGCATCTCTTGGGTGCTGATACCATTGCTATGCTGCTAGCTCTCAAAACGCATTTGAATCTTAAGGCTATCTGGTGATGGTTGTGAAATGAGTTGCTGTGTGCACCGGTTTCCAGTGTTTCCGTGTAGGCGGCAGAAGCCACCTCACTTGATACTTGGGTATTAATACTCAGGTAACGTATCGAGTGGCACTTTTCTGGTATCTAAGCCCGCTTGGGTGCACTCTGCGCTGCACTCTCAGCAGCGGAGATGTGCTTCAAGCGTGGAGCATTGATCAGTCTGTTGACTACAGTCTGCTCTCCCCTCCGAGTATTGGTGATGGGTGTTGCTGAACATGCTCACTGTAAACTGGCATGGGGCTGAGGCAGACCTTATGTAGGGTTGCATAATTAAGCAGAAGACTGAGCTGTTGTGCCAATTGTGGTGGTAAAGGCAAGCCTTGCAAATGGAGAACAAAATGGACAGCAGCACTTCACCCGAATTAAGAGACAAACACTTGCCGCACAGAGCCCATTCTGAATGAATTAATCAAGCCACAACAAATGAATTTTTAAATTGGATCCTTTGTATTTAGTACAAATGGATAATCGCCTCCTTCCAGAGCCGCCGGCTCCAGAGATAAGGCACTCATGTGGGCTGCACAGTTAAGCCGTGCAAAAGTTTGCTACAAAGTGTAGTGAAAGAGGCAAAGGTTTTTTGGTGACAGCTTGTGGTGGACCAACTGCATAGTTGTGGGAGGGTTTAGACTTTCAGGTGTCCTTAAGGTCTCAACAACCCTCTGCTTCTCATCTTTCTGCCACCAGTTTCCTCGTATGGTTCGGCAGATCATATTTTCCTGAGGCCCGTATAGTCAGAGGTATTGATTTCTGTGGGAGTTGGGTGCCTAGGGCATTTGTACACATGTATGTGCCGTAGCGCCAAGCATTTTTAAAAGCTCCCAGCGCTGCGGCACATGCATTTGTATAAACAGCAAAATGTGCATCAGCGCTGAGAAACTGGCGGTGGCACACTTTTAAACTAAAATATATCAAAAGCGCTTTAGTTCAAAAAGTGCACCGCTGATGTTTTCTGTGCGCTGGTGCTCATTTTGCCATTTATACAAATGCATGTGACGCGGCGCCAGGCACGTCAGCTGGCATGCTCTGCAGACTCCATTAATCAAGTCCGCTCTGAAGCGCTGGATTTCCGGCGTGTTGGAGCAGACAAAGGTACGTGTATAAATGCTTGCCTTAGGAGTTGGGCCTAAAGCACTTTTGACAATTGCAGGATCTAGTCTATCAAAATTAGAATTTCTTTGGCAGGGGACCTCAGGGACTTCTTATTGAGGCCCCCCTGTTTTCCAGGGCTTGACTATTTTATGTTGCCACCATTTCAGTGGGGGGGGAAGCAAGCAAGCTACCGGGGAGTGAGGGTTTTCTCCCCGATGACTTGGATCAGGCTGTAATTACAGAGCGGAGTGCCTGAGAGGAGTCCTTAAGAGGGATTACTGTCCTGCAAAAAAGATTAATATCGAGTTTATAAACCTATTGCATGTAGAACCCAGCACAACGGGGCCTGATCTCAGCCGGAGCCTTCAGGCACTGCTAAAATACAAATAGGAAAGGGTAGGAGGTAAATGATGTACTCTGTTGTGCACCTGAATCGTGTCCTGGCTACATTTTCTTCTCGCTGGATCTTGACAAAATACTGCTTTAGAACATCCCATTGATATTTTACAGCATCTTCCTCCTAATCATGTTAAAACAATTAGCCCAACTTCTGCAACCACGTCATACACTGAATCAAAAATCCTGACAGCATGCTCCTGGGAAATAAAGGTGGCTGTGAATAAAGGGCCTGGGATTATTTGTTTATGCCTGCAGCATGATAATATACCGTGGGTCACTTCAAAGATTCTGGACCTTTCTGAACACAAAAAATAAATGCTGTGGCTGCCCTCTCCCTAAATTCATGCTTTTCGGCGTGTTTTTGGATTAGAGGATGGGATGAAAAATAATAATTTCTAGTTCTTCCATGGCCCTCATCTCTGATAGGCCTCAAGGCATATTTTCACGAGAGGTCAGAATCATTGTCCCCATTTTACAGCAGGAGAGACTGAGGCAGAGAAATGTACTGGGCTGAGGTCACCAGGAAGGCCAGTGGCAGAGCCAGGAGAAGAATGCAATAGTCCTCGGTCCTGGTCCAGTGTCCTAGCAACTAGGTCCTCCCTAGATACGGTATTTTAATCTCTGGAATAACTTGGGTATGTGCTAGATTTATATACAGTTATTCAGGTGCTACTGAGACGGAAGGGAGACTGATGACTAGGCCAATGGCCTGCTGCAGAAAGAAAGATCTTAGGTACCCTTCACACTCAACGGAGAGAGAGTTGGAAATTCATCCAGTTGCTTCTGTTGTGGAAGGTTTTGCTGATGCACCTCAAGTTGGCATCCAAGATCAGAGGCTCCCCTGGGCGAGCATGGTAAAGACACACCAGCTCCAGCAGCATGAAGGGGAGCGATGTGGCTAATATTCACCTCCAGCCAAGTTCAAGTCCCCAGGCTGAGTAACCAGGCACCCAGATGGCAGGAGCAGGTGGGGACAGCTCTTGGGATGGCTCTAAAGTGAAGCTCACTCCCATTCCTCTGGAGCTGTAGAAAGTCACCGTCACTCTGCTCTTCCCCCAGTTAAAAATTGTCTGTCCTGATGCTTATCCTACGCCCTTAACGTGGTATCTTTCTTAGCGGTGTTTAGCTTATGATGTTACCCAGATGCATTCAGTGCCAAGCCTCTTCTCTGTCGGTCCCAGAAGCTGGTGATGCTATTTGCAGCTATGAGTTGATTCTGGTGGGATTGGGGGGGCGATGGGGCTTGGTGTCCCACTAATTGCATACAGGAGTAATCCACTTTGCCTGCCTGCCTGTCTCGAAGCATGTGAAACAGTAGGCAGGTGTCAGCAGCGCCGTCAAAGCCCTCCAGCCTTTTCTGGGGAGCCCGTCGTATTATCATTTGTTATTCTGTGGGATTTCTAACTACCCCGTAGGGAGATGATGGGTGAGTAAAGACATCCTTATCTGATGCCTGCAATTACCTGAGATGGTTTTAGTCACTTCCTGCAACGGGCTTGTTCTATACAACCATTTAATAATGAGCAACGTTCTGTGGCCTGTTTTGCAGGAGGGGGGACTAGATGATCAGAGCGGTGCCAATGAATAGTAAATGTTTATTTGGTTTGTTCTCAGCCTGCAGCTTGGTGGGTGTGCTGCTATTTGAGAGGGACGTGTCCATCATTACTAAATGGGAGAGCCAATTAGACTTTTTCTATCAAAAGCATTTTTTTTCTCTTTTGGCTGATTTTTCACTGATTGGCAACCAGTGAAATGCTTTATGGACGGGTATTGATTTTTATCAACTTTTTGAACACAGAGTTTGGAAACGTTTCCACAAGGCCAACACATTTGGGTTCAGCTACACCCTTTGAACTTTCAGGTTAAATTGATTATGTTAAAGATTTTTGTGGCATTTTTGTTTCACGGGAAATGATAAATTTTCCGTCTGATTCAGGACCCTAAGTATTCTGAAAAGTCAGGATTTCTTGCAGGATGGAAACTTCTGAATTTCAACTAGCTCTACTTATGGGTGAGATGCAAAGCCCCAGGATGAATTCTTAGGCTTTTCTACTAGATGCATGCATGGCAGAGCAACTCTTCCACACACAGCTGGCCAAACCTGGCATTTTACCTGGCGATAGGCAGAGATGGAGGAAAGCAATGTAGGACTGGGTATATCAGTGGGCAGAGGCCCCTGGACAGGCCTATCTATAGAATAGTCTGCGGCTTTTAGACAAGGAAAATAAGATCAATCCATGATATGGCCTTTCTATTGGGAAGTGATCCGCAGAACAGCACAGCTGAAGGAGACCTGCTGAGCCTGATTGTTTACAGCCATGTCTCTTGTTTCTGTTTCCGATCCCAGAGTCCGTACCTTCCCCAAAGAATCGCAGCTGGGCCACGACACTGTCCGAGCCCTCATGTACTATGCCCTGAAAGTCTGGAGCGACATCACCCCACTGAATTTCCATGAAGTGGCAGGTAACAATGCCGACATACAGATAGACTTCTCCAAGGCAGACCACAATGATGGGTATCCCTTTGACGGGCCTGGCGGCACGGTAGCGCACGCTTTCTTCCCCGGTGATCATCACACCGCCGGAGATACTCACTTCGATGACGATGAATATTGGACTTTCCGATCATCAGGTATGTCAGGGTAAGAGAGTTGCAGCAAAACTCATCTTCTCCCAAACCCACTCTTTTTACGTTAATGATTTATGTATCCACTGTGCCAGCACTTGAGGTTTTGAAGCCCTGTGCAGTGTGCATATCCCCCCAAAGATGCATCCTCATGTCCCCAAATACCAGCAAATTTTCTTCTGCCCAGAAATCCAATGCTGTGTCTTCACAGACATGGGAATGGAGTATTCCCATGTCTTCCATATCTCGCTGGTCCATCCCCAAACCTTCCACTCTCCTTGCCCTGTCCTCCCTACAGCTCTTAACTCCCTGCTTCTGGGTCTCTAGGCTAGGTAGTGAGGAGATCAGTGTGGCTGCCTTGGGGTTTACAGGGCAGAGCTTTTCTTGGTTGACAGATTTGTTAAGCACCTTGTGGCACCAGCACAGGCATACAGAGACCAGCTGAGGGGAAAGCAATGGCACATATTCTCTTGCTCCACACTGCAGCACTTCCCCTGTGGGATCAGGGTACGTCTCCCTTCACAGCCCATCATCAGCACTGCACAGAGCTCTCTGCAGGGGGGAAGGATGACAGTGCCTGGACCCCTTATGCCATGGGACCCCTCCTAGAATAGCCTCTGCTCACCTTCCTGCCTCAGCTTCCTAGTCCTTTTTCCCC